GCTGAAAAAGCAAAAACCGAAAGAAAAACAGAAAGATTATGTTTTTGAATCTGGAACTTGTAAATATTCAAACTTTGGATAAATTCTGTTTTCACAGTATAATTAATGGATTTGCCTTACCACTAAAAGAAGAGCACAAGATTTTCTTACTGAAGGTGTTATTACCTTTGCACAAAGTGAAGTCTCTGAGCGTCTACCATCCTCAGGTAAGGGCTCCTCCCGTGATGTTGGTGGGCCCCAGGAAGGAGCTCGTCCGTCTCTGCTTGCACATCAGTGAACTCAGGATATTGAGCCCCAGCCTCTAACTGGGAGTGTTTTGTCTCTTATATCACAGCGTTGACTTGGGTGTCAGGGTTCTGGCGATGAGTGAAAGGATAAGGGAGTAAAGAGAGATTGATTTTGAGAAAAATCAGAAAAACCTCAGGAAAGGAGAATTTCAAAATTGGTTGTAAACACTGAGAAGGGAGTGGCTCAAGCGATGAAGGGGTCAAGGAAGACCTCTCAGGAAGGCTTCCTGTGGTGGGATTGAAACCTAGCACCTCAAAGACAACGCCTCTGTGTCCACGGCCAGTAAAATGGCTTAAGAAAAAGTGGTTTGGGGACTTGCTGGCGGTCCAGTGGTTAGGACTCCGTGCTTGCACTGCAGGGGGCATGGGTTCGATCCCTGGTCAGGGAGCTAAGATCCTGCATCCTATGCAGCGTGGCCAAAAAAAAAAAAAAAACTGTGGGGTTTTTATAACTTAGAAAACTGAAAACCTGATCCATAAGTGGTTTCTAACTGGTTGGTCAGCTGCATTTCCCCAGGAAGTCTACGTTTTCCTTCACTCTTACTATTCTAAGTTCCGTGCAGACAGAATGTAAGCCTCACTGACTGCAGCGCAGAAGGTTCTGGGGAGACGCCCACCGTCACTGTGGGTTCAGGGTGGGTGGGCCCCACGTCTGGGTCCAAGGACCAGGAACCCCCATTCTGCGGGACCTCCCTCGGGGAGTTTGCCTCATGGCATCAGAAGGTGTATCCTTAGATGATTCTAATGACACTGGCTTCCTGGGAAATCTTTTACTTAGAGTTTTTTCCTCTGATTCCTATTGACTGGTAATATCTTTACATCCAGCCAGTTTGTTATCATGTTAGTTGTTCTGTATTAGAAATTAATAGTTTAGGAATTTAAGATGGAAACAGATTTTAATTTGCTTTTTCCCAGCAGTTAGATTACTTGTCCATTACAGTCTCCAAAAAGGGCACCAGAAAACTCCCACCAAACCTGGCCTGGCTTGTCGGTGTTGGTCTAAAAGACTGCTTCCTGGTTTATTTTAGTTTTCTGATGTTCCTTTTGCAGTTGATCTGTGTTGCACACTGATCCTGGGGTCCCTCCCTCAGGGCCCCTCCCAGAGCCTCCGGCGGGGCCACTGGACGGAGCCTATGTCCACCCAGGAGAAGGGCTGTGGGGGACATTGCGGGCAGGGCACAGCGCTGATCACATCCGGCCCTGTCTCCCCACAGGAAGATGTCTGACGGTGATACAGGATTTCCATGTTAAAATGGAATATTAATACTTTTTCTCCTCTTACTGTAGCTGGCATACTGTGTAGTGCAGTTTTTAGAAAAGGACAGCACCCTCACTGAACCGGTAAGTACACCCTCTCTGGTCAGGGCCTTGTGATATAGTGTGTGTGTCTTAAGTGTCAGTATCGCAGTCTGGTTGCTTCACCAAGACAGCTTCTTTATCTTAAGTTATAACACTAGTAAACACAAACTGATTTCATTCCTGTGTTACAAGTTTTCAAACTGTAGTGATTTTAATTACAAGTTCCCTTGTCGAAGTGATTGTTCATGTAAGAAGATGGCCGTCTTATCCCTCATTGCATTTTACTCTGAACGGCATCCTGCTAAATCATGTGCGGTTTAATACTCCCACGTCGCTTGGTTTAACAGCACAGGTCACTGACTTCAGTCAGAGGAATTGTAGCAAGGATTCAACATGCTTGTACTAAAGAGATTTTACTGTCTTGAAAATTCTTTCCAAGTTATAGTGTCACTATTTTATGGTCATTGGATCATAAATGAACGTTAGATTGCTACTGGTCAGTGTTTAGATTTCTAAGTTTCTTGGCATTTTATCTTTATTAAAAATAAAAAGGCTATTGTAGCCAAGATTCACAAAGCTATTGTAGCCAAGATTCACAAAGTCTGGTGTGTCAGGTGCCAGTTGAAGCATTTGAATACACTTTTTTATCAGCTTTATTGAGATGTAATTCACATGCCATACAGCTCACCCACTTAAAATGTATGATTCATATGGTAGACCTAGGTTTTATATTTCTGTGGACCCAATCAGGAATTAGAATATAGCCTAGAATATAGTCCTATACACATAATATATCCTTAGAAAATACTTAGGAGTAATTTGATAATTATTAGCATCATGATTTAAATTAGTAGATATAGGGCTTCCCTGGTGGCACAATGGTTGAGAGTCCGCCTGTCGATGCAGGAGACAAGGGTTCGTGCCCCGGTCGGGGGGGATCCCACATGCCGCGGAGCGTCTGGGCCCATGAGCCACGGCCGCTGAGCCTGTGCGTCCGGGTCCTGTGCTCCGCAGCGGGAGAGGCCACAACAGTGAGAGGCCCGCATACAGCCCAAAAAAAAAAAAAAAAAATTAGTAGATATAGTACAGGAACAAATTTTGTTCTGTATGTGACCTGCTTTTCATATGATGGTATACAATTTACTTCTCACCAACCATCTTGCACCTTGCAATTTGGAGTTTTAGTCCTCAGCATTGAAATGTTTTTGGTGTTTCTTCCTGTTCCAGGACAGAAATCAGAAAAATCAAAGGTATTTGTTTAGTAACTTGCTGTACTTTAAAAGAAAAAAGTATGATTCAATGGTTTTTGATATATTAGGTTATTAATTTTTTCAATTGTGGTAAAATATACTATATAACAAAATTTGCTGTTGTAAGTGTACAGTTCAGTGGCATTAATTACATTCACTCTGTTGTGCACCTGTCTGTCACCACTGTTTCTAAAACTTTATCATTGCCCCAAACAGAAACTCTGCCTTCATTGAATAGTAACTCCCCACTTACCCTCCCCCCTCCCCCTGATAACCTCGAGTCTACATTCTGTGAATTTGACTGCTCTAGATACCTTATGTAAGTGGAATCATACAGGATTTGTCCTTCTGTGACTGGCTTATTTCACTCAGCATAATTTGCTCAAGGTTCACCTATATTGTTGTGTGTGCCAGAAATTCATTCCTTGTTGTGGCTGAATAGTATTCCATTGTATGGCTAGAGCACATTTTGTTTATTCATTTATCTGTCAATGGAAATTTGAGTTGTTTCCACATTTTGGCTGTTGTGAATAATACTGCTATGAACATGTGTGTGCAAATCCCTGCTTTCAGTCACTTTGGGTATATACCCAGTAGTGGGATTGCTGAATCATATGGTAATTCTATGTGGTTAGCTTTTTTTTTTTTTTTTTTGGGGGGGGGGGGTACGCGGGCCTCTCACTGTTGTGGCCCCTCCCGTTGCGGAGCACAGGCTCCGACGCGCAGGCTCAGCGGCCATGGCTCACGGGCCCAGCCGCTCCGCGGCATGTGGGATCTTCCCGGACCGGGGCACGAACCCGTGTCCCCTGCATCGGCAGGTGGACTCGCAACCACTGCGCCACCAGGGAAGCCCTGTGGTTAGCTTTTTGAGGAAATGCCATGCCACTTTCCGCAGCAGCTGCACCATTTTGCATTCCCATCAGCGGTACACAAGGCTTCCAGTTAATCCACATCCTCGTCAACACTTGTTATTTTCCATTCTTTTTTATTATAACCATCCTAGTGAGTGTTTTTTGATTTGCATTTCCCCAATGACTAGTGACCTTGGGCATCTTTACACATGTGTGTTGGTCATTTGTGTTTCTTCTTTGGAGAAATATCTTTAAATTCATTGCCCATTTTTTAATTGGGTTGTTTTTACTATTGAGTAACAAAGCAAGAAGTATTAGATGCTAGTTTAAACATTTGAACACTCTTTTAAAAGTCACTATTGGACCAGAAAAGGTAAATATTGTGATTCCTGAGTCTTTCCTGTCCCTTTAGTGGTCTTTCACAGGTTTCTTGTGAAATTTTAATTTTTATAGTTAAAAAAAAGAGCAATTCATAATACTGTATTCTTGAATTAAACGGCTTCTGATCTCTCCTTTCTTTTTAAGCTTTTAAATTCTATGTGTAGCCTCCCCCATCGCACCCCAAAATTCAGGAAAAGCCCCTGGTCATATCCCTCAGCTGCTGCCTGTGGAGGCGACGGAGGCTGCCCCGCTCTGCAGCCCCTTTCAGAGTGACCCATCCCTGTACCCCATCCCTGGGGTCTCCTCGCGCCTCTGCCTCAACTCTGTCCAACATTCTGGAAGCCCCCAAGAAAATGTACCAAATCTTATCAGACTTCAGTATCACACAAAGTATTTACTCCAATTTAGGGTGAGGATGTGTTATTTTATCCTCCTACTAAACTGAAGACATGCTCAGATAGGG